AGTAATAAGAGTCCTTAATCCTACACAATGCTACACTTGGAGAAGCTTGCAAGTGCCTTCGTCCCAAGCAATACTTAAACCTATCCCAAGTAATTACGGATATTCCAGGGTTCTACAGATCATTTGTGAGAACTCTGTCATGAACCCACAAAGCATTAATCGAGCTAACACTGAAATAGATGTTCATGGATTTGTCACCTAAGGCAACTAAGTAATAACAAAGGGGGAATTTCCCTGACAATATTGGTTGCCTATGGGATAGGGGACTGGGTAGCAGGGGTACGGGGTGGGAAGGAGGATTTTCTCTGCAGAGTCATTAGCATCTTTTGAATTTTGAGCCATGTGAATACACTGCCTACTTAAAAATAAATAAAATTTAAAAAACAAAACAGAAACATTATCTATCAAGATTCCGATTGCCATGACTTACTCAAAATTTTAAAAGTTGTTCTTTAAGGTGTGTATTAGTGCTGTGGTCAAATTGGCATTAAAATTTTTAGTCTATTCAAGTCAAAATAGTTGAGGGGCTGGGGGAAGGGCCACAGAGGGATGAGAGGGTGAACTCGAACTAGAAGTGGGAAGATGGGGGGCGGGCACAAACAAAACGTAACTTCTTAATAGTGGAATTTGTGTTTATACTCTTAAGCAAGTAAAAAATCTCAACACTTCCTCTATATTTATATTACGTTATACTGTGTTCTTGGGGGGATTTTGCTTATAGGAAATATCAAAATGTCAACCATTGTTTCTATTAAAGGTCTTCAATGATATTGCATTTTAGACCTATAATGAAACATGGTGCTCACTGCAATCTGTACTGCATCTCATTAAATACATTAATAACATGCATTTCACTAAAAGGTCAACTTATTATGGCTGAAGTTTGGCTTTCCTTTAATCATTTCATTTAAAGCTATAGAGCAAACTCTGAAAAGACAATAGAGAGCGCCTGTTACAGAAATGCTCCCTCAATTCCCCATCCATTCAAACCAGTTATGTTTATTAAGAAATCACTGTTAGTGTTTTTGTGTGGGATAATATTGTGATTTTTTTTAAATGCTTTTCTCTTAGAGATCCATGCTGATTTACTGATAAAATGATAGGATGTCTGGTGTTTGCTTCAAAATAAAGCAGAAGTAGGGGGTGAGTTAGTATAAGTAGATGAAATAAGATACGCCGTGACTTGATAAGTGTTTAGCTGGTAAAGGTATATGGGTTCACTATACAATTCTCTCTACTTTTATATAGGTTTGATATATTCCATAATGAAAAGTTTTAAACAACTCATGCTGAGGTTTCCTTAAATAACATGCCTTTTTCCTTATACACTGCTGCTACCAACATAAAAGAACTGCCTCCTAACGCTACAGAAGTTTTTAAAAGAAAATCAGAGAGGAAAAAGCTAACCTCTTTAGAGGAATGGTTTTGTGCATGGAAAAATCCCTTAATTTTGCTAAGGTTACTTCATGACTTACCACTTATGCAACTACTAAAATATCAAAAAATGCCTCTGAAATTATTTCACATCGAGAGGTATCCAACATGTAATATCAGGGTGATTTGGGGACTAAGTGCGTTGGGGAAGAAAGGAGATATTTGTTTAGTTTCTGAAAAATAGAGTTTAAGGTGCTTAGGGTACAAAGGCATGCTGCTCGGGACTTAACGGTGGCTGAAATACAGCTGGAAGTCTGCTCTGTTCTAGAGACTACTGTTAGGACTATGAGAGTAAATGACAGAGCCAAGGAGAGAATATGCCAAGAAAACACAGCCTGAGAACAGGATCTTAAATGCAGTGAAACTGACACTGAGAGGATAAAAGAGGAGTCAGAAAATCAGGAGAACCCACACATCACATGCAGTAGCGCCAAAATCCAAGGGAAAAATTTCAAGGAAAGGTTGAAAGCTTCATGGAGGCAGCAGCTGGGTCTGGCAATAAGGAAATCTCTGATCACCTTCTCACAGTCATAGGGGCCAAAGCTGAATTCTAAGTATTACACTAGAATATAACACTACTGGGCTTCCCTGGTGGCACAGTGGTTGAGAATCCACCTGCCAATGCAGAGGACACGGGTGCGAGCCCTAGTCCGGGAAGATCCCACATGCCGTGGAGCAACTAAGCCCGTGCACCACAACTACTGAGCCTGCGCTCTAGAGCCCGCGAGCCACAACTACTGAGCCTGCATGCCACAACTACTGAAGCCCACATGCCTAGAGCCCATGCTCTGCAACGAGAAGCCTGCGCACCACAACAAAGAGTAGCCCCCGCTCAACACAACTAAAGAAAGCCTGCACACAGCAATGAAGATCCAATGCAGCCAAAAGTCAACAAATAAATTTATTTTAAAATAATAATAATAAAAGAATATAACACTACCCATTTTCCAGAACAAATGGTTAATTTAAATTATACAGGGAACCTGAACACTAACAAAAAGTCAAAAAACACTGGAGACAGTGGGAACGATGGTTAGTTACAGTGACGACCGTCATTCACAGGGCTGAACACTGCCAAATGCCTCTTTCTGCAGAAGAGAACACATGTACGTAACATTTGTGGTGTGCAGTGTGCCAGACACTGTGCTAATGCTTTATATCGATTACGTCCTTTAATCTTCACAATCATATTATCCCCATCTTACTGGGAAGTTAAGTAACTTGCTCCAGGTCACTCAGCTAATCCACTGCTGAGATGGAATCTAAACCCAGGCAGTCTGACCTTACTGTAAGACCAACCACACTGAAAAGAGATTTAATTAAAGAAATTAAGTTCCAGTGTTTGTTCTGGGGTCAGTACAAATTCAGCCTATGTTCCACACCAGCTATATAACATAGTATAAATTGTTCATCCACAGTAACGTAACCAAGAAGTTTTTCTTAAACTCTGCTCACCAAGATAGGGAAATACACAACATATTATATCATATTGTCATAAAGGTAGAAACAAGAATTAGCTACCCTTCAGATGCACAGAAATTCTGGTAACCAGAAAACGCTCCTAGATAACTAATAAGGACCTACTGTATAGCACAGGGAACTCTACTCAATACTCAATTCCACAATGGCCTATGTGGGAAAAGAATCTAAAAAAGAGTTGATGTATGTATAACTGATTCACTTTGCTGTACACCTGAAACTAACACAACATTGTAAATGAACTATACTCCAATAAAAATTTCAAAAAAAAGAAAACTCTCCACCCTCCCACCTTAGAATATGTGATACCAAATAAATATTCCTTTCTTCTCCCTCTTCCGCTGCAACCCACCTAGTCAGATTAGGAGACATCTGTCAGATTAACTGGAATTCATCAACGAGGCAAAGAGGCAATTGGTTAAGTACAAAAAGAGATGGGGGAATACCCTGGCGGTCCAGTGGTTAAGGCACAGCGCTCCCAATGCAGGACACGTGGGTTAGATCCCTGGTGGGGGAACTAAGATCCCACATGCCACATGGCACGGTCAAAAAAATAAAATAAAATAAAAATGTTTCTTTTTTAAGCGTTTAAAATGATCGGAACTGTTGCAAAATAAAAGTTAAATAACATTAAAACAGCTAAAAAACTGAACTGTACCCAAGAGTAAGAATGCGTCCCTTATACCGAGCACTGATAAAACCTTAAAATATCTACATTTTGAGATGAACCCCCAAAAAAGCGGGGACAGGGTTGGCTCAAGCAAGAAGAGTAATGAGTAACAAAGTGGAAAAGGCCTTATCGTGAAACATTTAAGACATTTAATCTAGAGTAGTCTTGGTCTAGGTCTCATTCCAAAGGCATACCGGAAATCAGGGCACTAGGGCGTTAAAAATAGCAGAGAAGTGCCCCCAAAATCTCAAAAATGCTGAAAACCACCAAGCTACCATTTATTTGACGGAGGAAGCGGGGAAGAGCTGGAGGAGGGGCTACAAAAGACCCGCCCTCACAGTAACTGCAGGGTTCCTGACTTCAAGTGTGTCAAGACACACAATCTAAAGACGGGCCCTTGGGAAGTAATTCCTAATTAAACCAAGTAGTCCCCGCCAAGAAAGGTTCACACAATTCCTTACCCTAGAAATCCCACCCATTTATCTTAAGTGGTTTAAGGTGATTCTAACCAAGAGGCAGAGCCAAATCAGACTGATGTCCTCCTCAGGCCCCTTTCTCAGGCCAACTCCACGATATTATAAAAACAAGTTTGAAAGAGCAAATGACAACACTAAGTCTCAGCGTGCAAGTAAGGGGTGGAGATTCCAGCCTCTGTGCGCTCACCCCGCATCTCTCTCCTCGGCCCCAGTCCTCTGGTGCCACTGGGCACCCAGGAGGCAGCCCCTAGATCGTAAGGCAGAAAAGCTGGGGGAGGCTGTCTCTGCCGTGCATGATCGAGCTCTCTAACTTTGGGCGACTCACTCTCTTTGGGCTTTGGCTCTCTCCTCTGTAAAATGAGGGAGTTGGGAGCCAAATAATTGCTAAATTCCTTTGCTCTTCTAAAATTCTTGGACTTTACAGCCCAGCAATTCTCTTTCACAACTTTTTCCTCCCTCTGCGGTCACCATCCTTCATCACCCTCTGTAACCCAAAGGGAGACAGGAGTAAGGTCATCTCAGCATTTTGTTCTAGAAACCACCCAACAAAGAAAGGCATCCTTTAAGCACGTGATATACAAGTTAAACGAACTGAGGTTAGTCATTCACTGTCTCCCTTTCGTTCTATGCCAGCGGTTTTTCCCTGAGCACTAAAGCAGTAGCTCAGAAAGCCAAGAGGAGGGGGAGGGGAAAGTGAGAGCAGGGCTGGAAAAAAGAGGAACAGGCATGACTCAAGCACCCAACCTGTTTCGATCAAAGTTGCCTTCATTTGATAAGAGGGTTATACTGCGATTTTTTTTTAAGTTAAAAATCGCCATTTTATACCATATTATGACTAAAGCCAAGTCTTCTCAACTCTGTGGTGCTGTGAATACAATCCCAGTATATCCCAATGAACCCCAGTGGTTCTAAGCATCCCAATATGCGATAAGTATTCTTACTGTTTTTCAAGGCGCTGGCAAATTCTGGGCCACCTTTGTCCTTGAAAATAGGGAAAACATCTGGTTGAGGAAGCTGATTGGTGGTCAGCAGAGCTTTTTGTAGCTTTATCCTTCCTTCCAAGAGCTGGTCCCACAGTGCTGAGAAAGAAAAAAGAATTCCATTCCTCAGTTAATAAAATCTTCCTGGGGCAGGGAGAGGGGGAGGGACTGGAAATCAAAGCAGTCCCTAAGCAGCATGCCTTTATCAGCTTCATGCCATGGAAACACTCTATTTATTACAGGAAATAAATCCGGTGTCTGGACGCAAATTGACTTGCTACATGAGAGAGAGAATGCTACAGCCCAACAAGAGGAGACGCCGCCCTTCCCTTCAACCTTCCACAGCTGCCAGAAGTACTAGAGCAGAACCAGCAAAGCAGCTGAGTGAAGCAACAGCAGGCCAAGCACAGGGGAACAGCGCTTTGGGCCTCTAGGTAAGTGGGGCACGTCACCAACTAATTGGAAGGACACAGGAGACAGCAAACAGCCACAAACAAACAAAAAGGAGATCAAATGTGGACACTCAAAACAAGCAAACAGCAAGCCGTGTACAAACCTATCTGGTTCTTCACAGCTTGGCCTTTCTCCACTTCCTCGGAAACTTTGACCTCGGAGAAGGTCATCACCACCCCGTCGTCCTCACTGGTCCTGTCTTCGGCCTTGTCTTCCTCACTCTCACCTTCAAAGTCTTCCTCACCACCCCCTTCCTCCATACCACTCTCCTGCTCTTCGTCTTCCTCGTCCTCACTGCTACCGAGGTCATCCATTCCCTCGGTAAACTTTTCAAAGTCACTGATGCTCTGGACACTGAAGCCCGACGCCTTCCTGGAGTGGCTTCTGCTCCTCTTTTTCCAGGCCAGGCTACTGTCACCATCAGCACACTCCAGTTCCTCAGCACTCATGGCATCCTCACCGGATTCCTCCAGGCCCAGACCCTCTGAATCTCCATCTCCAGACCCTTCCTCATCAGATATTTCTTTATCTAAACAAGGGAGGGAAGAAGGAAAAAAAGAAAAAAAAGTTACCTTAAAACAAACACTAGGCCATATCTTTCATTTTAACTAAAGTATCATGACACCTATCCAAAAAAAAAAGTATTACCGTATTCAATGCAACTCAACAAATATTTATTACACATCTACTATCTCTAAAATGCTAAGGGAGAAACAAAAATGAATAAAACATGGGTCCTATGGGATTTCCCTGGCGGTCCAGTGGTTAAGACTCCACGCTTCCAATGGAGGGGGCTCGGGTTCGATCCCTGGTTGGGGAACTAAGATCCTGAGTGCCACACGGCGCGGCCAAAAAAAAATAAACAGACAAAAACAAACAAACAAAAAAAAACATGGGTCCTATCCTACTGAAAGGCTCTAGTGGGAAAGACAGACCCATAAAAACTATAATACAGAGAAGAATTAAAAGCACTTTGACAAAGTTTTGGTAATCAAGAGAAGGAAGAGATTTTAGCTGTGGAGCAAGTGAATTTAAGCAAGGTTATAAGAAAAAGGCAGCCTTTGACCTGGACCTTGAAAAATGGTCAAATTTCATCTGGTGTGAGGGAATTACTGGTTTCCCCAAACCTGCATCTGAAAAAACAGAGTTTATCACTAACTGTCCCAAATGCACAATCTCTGTCACCCTAGTGATGCCTATTAAACACTTATTAAGTACCTATTATGAACCAGCCATGGATAAAAACTAGAGACTGACAAACAGAATGTAATATCTGTGGGGGCGGGTTCACAGTCTGCTAGGAGTGGTGGATATGCATAACCAGTAACTACATTACAAAAGCATTAGTACAGTGTATAGAGAAGGGTGAGAGATGGCTTCATGTGAAGGACACATTATAGTTTTACTTATTAAGCATAAGTAACAGGTCATCAGACAGAAAAGAGGGAAGGAAAGGAAAAGCAGCAGATGCAAAGGTCCAGCACACAAAAGTGCACTGGGGTACAGAATGCTGGGATATGAGGCCAGAGAGTTGCTCAGGGACCAAATCAGGAGGGGTCTTGTCTTCCACGGGGAGGAGTCTGAACTTGATCCTTCAGTAAATGGAATATTAGTTATGGCTCCTGATTTTACTTATGCTTGGGGTATCCTGACACTTAACAGGTCTTTAGTGATTATCCAATCTCTTTCATGGTAGAACACAGGAAGCATAATCATACAGGGACCTGTTACCAACAACTTTCTTCATAAAATAAAGATTTTTATGAAAACATGATCTCTTAAGTACTTCTTTAAGTAACAATATATAAACTCAAGACAGAGAAGGCTGTCAAAAACATATATACAGAAACTAAGTGCCAAATATTAAGAGAAATAATCCTTTAAGTTCTTTAAATGTATGCCATTTCTCAGATAAAGAAATATTCACAGAGTAGTAGTTTAAAGTATAGATCTTAGAGTCAGACTGCCTTATTTGAGTTCCAGCCTACACTTACTTGATATATGACCTTGAGCAAGTTACTTAACCAATGTGCCCCTCAATTTCCTTATCTGTAAAATGGGGATAAGCAGTACCAACCTCACAGGGCTGTTGGGAGGATTAAATGAGATAATACATGTAATGATATGGTGGTTAACATTTTCTGAGGACTTACTATGTACCAGGCTCTTAGAATTTAAAGGACTTACCATAGTGCCTGACACATGGTGAGAGCTCAATAAATATCATACTGGTCCCAGGACTGGTCTGTTTATCATTCTCTAAGCAAAGAATATGAAATGAGCTTATCATCTGGGAGCCCCAAGGACTGTATCAGGGACTAAACCATGGATATCACAGCATGAGTGATTGTTTCTTTTATATTATCTGTGGATTCTCAACATGGTCCCTCTGACCTCTCTAAAGGAAAGCAAATAGCATCCACTCAATAATCACCATACCCCGCCCCTTCTTCCACTCTGAGAAACTCACAATCTTTAGAACTATAAGCTCACATCCTCCTAACTGTTGCAGGGAACAGGGAAAGACTATGAAATTTCTACAGGGGCAAAAGAATGAGTGTCACAAATTAATATTATCCAGTGACTCGATGCAAGGCTTGACAAACCAAAGGAAAAGGGTCAAAATCCATGAGTAGCGTGCTCATCAGACACAATGCTTTTTCAACACATAGCCCTTTCCAAAATCCAAATATGCAAGGCCTTTTCTCTCACTCCATTTTAGGGTGAGCCATTAGTGCAAACATTAGGAGTACAGCTACTTAATAGCTCCAGACTTCAGATTCCTTACCAAGTGAAATTCAGTACTTCAAAGGGCCCTTTCTAATGTCAAATCAGTGGTTTCTCCTAAGACAGTAAGTGGGGCATCCGGACTAGTTCTGCAGAGAGCATCAAAAAAAAAAAAAAATTTTTACCCCAAAAAATCAGGAAAGAAAGAGTACCATGGAAATACGTCTACTCACCAGATGAACCTGGCAGAGTCTGCTCCCAATGGTCTGCCTTCCAAGCTCTTCTAGAGGTGGTCTTGCCAGAATACCTCTTGTCTGTGTCCAAGAGGGAGGCTGATGCCAGCTTTCTAATGCTACCCACCGCCAGGAAATCATCTTCCCCATCTTCCCCTTCATCAAACCTGTCAATCACTTTGGCAGCAGTGGCTGTCGGGGGAGGGGGAAAAGTAATCAGAATCTCCTGGTTAGAACATACTTTAATGGTAACCCTGTTCAGCCCTTTAAATTCACGCTTGAACGTCCTCTACAAAATCCCCACCAACTTCCAAGAACAGGGACCTCATCACCTCCCAAGGCAGACCACTTGCTACCTTGCTGCTACAGAAAGCTGACTCTCTGCATCTACTAGAAGGATATATTTCCATGCCTTGGATCATAGAAAACTAGTCTAATCCCTCTTCCATGTGTGACAGTCAGCTCAAATATTTTAAGTCAGCCATCATCATGTTCTATCCCACTCCAGCCCATCCCTCAGGGAGTTTTGTTTTTTTTTTTTTTTTTTTGCGTATCCTGGCTAAACAGCCCCAGTTCCCTCAACTCATTATTCCTAAGAAACGGTCCAACACTCACATTTATCCCTCCGTATTCTCCCTTCCTCACACTTCTCTGACTCAAGCCTAAAGGAGGATTACTCCCAACTAGACCTTGAACATCAGCTTACAGATCAGAAATATCATTCGTCAGCCGCTAAGCAAGTGTGCTGAAGCCTGAAAAGGCTGAAACGGCACCATGGAAGCCTACTTCTTCCTTCATCCTCCAAGTAGGTTCTCAGGGACAGGCGGAGTTTTTTTAAAAAAAAGATGAGAATTTTTCTTCTCATTTCTAACGCAATGCCAGTAAGGGCATCCTGAAAGATAACCTCCAACCTGCTACCAGACTCTGGCTGCCCGCAACAGCACTGGATCAACAGTTAACCCAAGCCTGAGTCCTCCGGACGCTCCGCCCACCCGAGCACCAAATCTAGAACGCGCGTCCGAAGGATTCCGAAGCCCTCCTCCCCTGCCCCGGGGGCCACCCTCCCGGGAAGCAGTTTTCCTCTGCGCAAGGGGAAGGAGAGTAGGCTAGGCGGCGAGGCCCAGCTGCCGGCCCCTCACAAACCGCCCGGGTCCGCACTGGGCCCGGCCCACGGCTCCGCACGTGGCCTTGTCCCCAACAGGCCTCACCCTCCTCCGGGTCGGCCTCAGGATCCGCCTCGCGCGGTCGCGGGTTCAACAACTGTTCCAGCTGCAGCGCTAAAGACTGCGGCCCCGCCATGGTCACCAGGTCTCGCCCTGCGCCGCGCTTCTGAATGTCGCTCTCCCCCTTCCGAGTCCTCTCGCCCAGAGACTGATCCCCAACACATCCAGGGACGCCCGGAGCCGTGCACCCTGCTCCCGGCCGGCAACTTCCGGGAGGCTCCCGGGAGGGGGCGGGGCTTGCGTCCCTACGTGCGTTGCTAAGATGAAGGCGGAAGCGCCCGGAAGGCTGTCGCGTGTGCGCGTGCGCGTGCGCCGAGGGGGTGTGTTGGGCAGCGCGGGAGCGCGCAAGGGCACGGCATCGCCGCTGGCCCGGAACCGAGACATCCTTGCGTGCAGCTTGTGTCCTCTTGTATAAAGTATGTCACAAGATTTGTCCGAGATTTGCTTAGAAATAAAGTGTAGTGTAACCGTGACCCGTGGTGGCTGATTTGGGAAGGAGGAGGAGTAAAGGCTAAGCGTCTCGAAGCTTACGTGTGCTTTAGGGCACGCACAGACTGGGACCAAAAGAAGGTTTGGCATTTCACAATTTGGAGGAGTCTGGGGCCGGGCGCATGCCTCTGGCCCCGCGATGGCCACGATTTGGAAATCGTGCCTGAGGGATGGGCATGTGTAAGTGTGTGGTGCACTGCTGGCATTTTTATTAATAGGAATTAGCAAGCGCTATAGCTGTGCGTAAATAAAGATCGATTCTGTAGCTTCTGCAAGTAGCTTTGTCTGTGCAGGGAAAAGAGGTGGAGTGGGGATTACTCTACTGCACACCCATCGGTATCGATATCCTTGCTGTTCAAGGATGAGGGCATACTCAGACACTTGAAAGTAGTGCACAAATGCGGGAAAACTCAGGTCTGCAGTTAGAGGGGCACAGGTAGACTCAAAATATAAAGACCCAATAGGATCAATTTAACTGCACCCAGGCACATAGAAAAATACAATCCCTTTATATGCTCTTTCCTTCATCAAGCATTCCCTGACTACCCGCTATGTGGCAGGCACTGCTAAATGAGATACAAAGATGAGTAAGTTAGATTCTCTTCTGGCAGTGATCAGCCTAGGGGGGCAGACAAACATGTGAACAGAAACTGCAAAAAGGGATGATCAGGGGAGCAGAAAGTGGTCTATCCTTCCAGTATCTGTTTGAGGTCACCTGTAAAGACCTAGAAGCCCCTAAACGGACACTGCCTCAAATGGATCCAGGAAACAGGGTCAGGGGTGCCCTGTGCCCTTCCTGGGAACAGCCCAGGCCAGTTGGATCCCACAGTTGAACAGCCTGGGGAACCCTCAGTTCTCCAGTGTCTCCTGTGGAACCCAAGGGACATGAGGGTCCCTGAATTCCCTCGTCTCCATACACGTCCCCAGCGTCAAGAGCAACAAGAGACCACTTGTTCCATGTCCCCTTCCTAGGTGGCGGCAGGAAGCCCTCAGGGTAGATGCCCACAGACACTGGGAAGGGAAAGCACTCCAGCTAGGATGGTGGCACCGTAGGCAAGGCACTGAGGCAAAGAAAACTGCTTTTTACCACCTGCAATAGAATTCAGTCGAAAACAGCTTTAAAACAAAAACAAAACAAAACAAACCATATCCCCTGTAATTGCAGTCTGGTGCCTGCCGTCTGGGGCCTCCAGAGTAAAAGAAGGCTCCACGGACTGGGACAGGCATGGCCCCGGGCTTTGAAGGACAAAAATGTTTCCCTCACCCCACATTTAGGAAACTACCTCCCCCGGTCCTCTTCCCTTCCTATTTGGGACACTAATAAGGCTTAGGAACCTAGCCTTGGGGTAAAGAAAGGGGAGAAAAGGAGCCGGCAGGTGAGGCAAGGCAGAGAGCACCTCTAGCTGTCATGCAAACAGGACACTGCTGGATAATTCTGGGCAGAAAATGCCTGCTTCCCTACTCTTCTGTCTCTGTCCAGGCACCTACTGACTTGGGAAGCCTTTTGAGGAAGAAATCAAGACCACTCTACTGCTGTTGCACACAACCCAGGGCCCCCAAAATGCTTCCCTGGCTTTCTCACCCCATCCTGAGAGTAGGGAGGGGCCTCCAGGAGTGGAGGAAAGAAGAAAGAGTTCTAGGACTTAAGATGCAGCTCAGAGATGTGGAGGCAGGAGGCAGCAACCTCCTAAATCCCCTCTCTGGGGGGTCCTCCCTACTTGATTCTAGTTTCTTGAGAAGGGAGGAGGGTTTTCCTGATGGGAGTGGGAGTGGAGATGGACGGTGGACTATGGGAGGGGCTATTTCAAAAACTCTACCTCTTAGAAGAAATGTAAACCCTGACTGCCCTTGTGATGTGAGCAGATGAGATGAGGAGGGGGATGGGAATAAATGCGAGCATGCTCCGAAAAGAACAGTCCTCTCCAGAGAAGGTCAGAAGGTCTCCCAGTTCATGGTTCCTCTACCTAAGGGCTGCAAAGTGGCACGCAGATGTAGGAAGAGCAGAGGATAGGCAGGGGTGACATTGGATACCACCCCCCCCCCATTGTCCCAATCTCCTGTCTGTTCAGGTGACCAGGAGTTTCAAGAGTTTAGGGAAACCATGTTCTTACCTTTCTCTCTTCTCACATACTATCAAGGGTCCCAGGCCCTTTCCAATGCCTGTCCTGGCTCTCCACGCATCGCCCTCCCCCACCTTGTCTAGCCCTAAAGCAGTTCCCACTTTACCCCATCCTGGAAAAGAGAGGTGGGTGAGCTATGCCTCCCTCGTCCAGGGCAGATGGCAGCTCCCAGTCGCTGGAACCCTGAGGGCAGGTGGCTAGAGGCACAGAGGTGGCAGCTTTGAGATGGCTGCGGGGAGAAACCAGGCGGCCAAGCCCAGGCAGGAGAGGAGACTGCGTTGGGGGTCGGAGGGGACCGCCTGGGCGCTCCCCGGAGAGGCGTGCGGGTGGGAGGGGAGCGCCCAGGCGCAGTGCGATGGTGCAGCGCTCCTCGGTACCTCAGGGCCAGAGGTGGGCAGCACAGCTCTGATGGGAACAAGAACAGTCCCTGACATCCCTAGACCTCCCCGCCTCGGGCGACTCCACATTTGACTGCTGAAGTTTGCCACCTGTCCAGGGATTCGTTAGGGCTCTGGACACAGCTTCCAAGGGGAAAGACCGAGCTGCTGCCAGAGAGAAGTCAGAGAGAAAAACTGCGTCCACACCGAGCAACCAACTCTAAAATGCTTATCAAGTACCGGATTCCACAATAAGGCTGCTAAATAATTCAGCAGCCTTGATAGGAAAATGTGGCTTCCCAATGAGCATACGTTCAGTTAAATGAATGTCTTTAAAGGAGGCTGGCTATAATGAATAAGTTGGCTATGATTTAATGTATATAAATGCTAAAAGGGCAAAAACAAGGCGATCTGCATACAAAGCAGGTAAATGTGCTGCATGCAGAGGCTAGGAGTTTCAAAAGTCTCCCCAGTATTTCATAAATTTGGATTTCTGAAAGAACACTGTCACATTCCACCCCATAGTCCTCCCCATTGAATAAGCTGTCATGTGGATGCAGGGAAATATTTATTTTAAACCCTTCTTAGCAAGAAAGATACACTTGGTTGTGTCTTAACAAAATATAAAAACAACACTGGAAATTGCATACCATTTCATGTAAAACCCTTGATTTAAAAAAAAAAAAAAAAGGAAATAAAGAATCCAGACTGAAATGTAGGTGACATGGAAAAGAAATTCTGGAACTGTGGTAGTGTCTGATAGTAAAACACACACATGTATTTCACAGCAGATAAAATATTTAAATTCCTTCCATGTTTAATGAAGACTTGGAAGGGACTGAACTACTTTTCAGAACCTTATGGCAACTCTCAGTTGAAATCTGATTTCTATATTGGTTATTTTTACTCCTCTTTCAGAGAAAGTAATATGTATCTTGTGCCAAGCAAAATCGTTTTCCTTCTGGGAAACTTCAAATGCAACAAATACTATAAAACAACTATTTCACATCAGTTCTGTGAAAGGGATTAAAGTATTTCATTTATAGCTGTGCTGTACATTCATTTTATGTTATCTTTCAAACCACCAAGTTAGAAAGCAGGATTATCTATGGGAAATGAATTGAAATAGAAAAGGACCACCTCTAACTACCTATTTATAGGTAACTGACGTTCAGAAATCTGGTTTTGCCTGTTTAGAGGGGAGAGGGAGAGAGTGCATGGGGTCTCATGCTTAATGACAGACTGGGACCACTCATTTTTAGCCATGAATTTGATTTCTATTTCCAGTTCTATATTAACTTATCAGCAAACATCTCCTCAATTGTATCCGTTAAAATTCACAGAATGCAAATCTGTAGTTAATAACAGCAGGAAGGCACAGAGAAAAGCTTGGTTGGCATTAGCAAAGGGGTTCAACTACAGCCAAGGTAAAAACAGATCCACCAGTCCTGTCTCTCTTCCTCCTGGCTTCTGAGAGGTCATTCGGCTCCGTCACAGCTCAATTCTAGTTGTTAAAACATCAAATAACACACCAGTTATCTAAACATCAGATTTTCTATTTTTATTAAAAACTCACAAATTTATTCAACATGTTTTCTTTCATACAGTGAATGGTCTAATATGCACTGGAGGTCACACAAGCTTAGGTTTATCAGAACAATAAAAGACATACGAGAAATTTAATATATAAAGAAAAAAGTAGCAGCTGTTGACTGCATATTTGACCATAAAATTTAAATATTTTGGACTTTTATTTTAAAGACACAAAAATAAAACCTGTGTGGGTCTATATAAGTCATATTAACAATTCCATGAATGTTCAACAGGACTAAAAATTAGCAAAGATGGTTTTTTTTTTAAACCTTGTAACACTTTTTTTTTTTTTAACACTTTTTCAGGTTGCGGTGCCAGGCACCTTTACAGTATTTGTGCTATAATTACTCTATTTGGCAAGTGTCTGAATATCACGTTTTCTCTTTGCCTTGTGTAAACAACACCTTTTTACATACTAGCACAGTGAGCTGTAAGCCCTGTAAATCTGTCAGAACATCTACAGGAAAAGAAAATGAACAATTTTGGTTGATTGCTCAAAACATTTTGTTTTGAACAAGAGGTTTCAAAACAGGATATATTAGTAAAACACTGAACTCCTGAATTTAACGTTATACGTAAACAGTTGACTGTTTTTAGTTCAATAGTTTTTTTTTTTTTTAATTTTGTGTGTGTGAAGGTAGAATACTTTTCTTGTACAGCTGATGTTCAAGTCATTTTACTAAGAGGTCTGGCTGGAGACCATCCTATTGTGTGTGTGTGTGCGTGTGTGTAGAGCTTTGTGAAGGTAGAAGAGTTGATACTGAGGGCTTTACATTTAGAATTTTGCAATTTTGGCAAAAACAAAAAAACCAAAAACCCAGAGAGACAAAAAATATATATATATATAGTCCCACCTGATGCACAGCAGGTCGGCGTTTCCGAAGCTATAAGTTTGTTGTCGCTGTTGCTGAACTCTGAGACAACACTAATAAATTTCCCAGAGCCAGAACCCTCCTGGCTGGCCCAGGAGCTCCCCGGCCGCTTCACCGTCCTCAACCGGCTGCGGGCGCAGCCTCCCTCCCCGCGGCTCCTGGCGTCACCACCGACTGGCCGCCTCCCGCGGCTGCCGTGGGTGTTTTTATGCAGCCCGCCGGGCTCTCGCTCACGCCGGCGGTGTCTGTCCAAGAATCCGGGTCCAGGTGGGAGGTGGGGAGAGGTCTGCGTTTCCCTGCGGGAGCCCCAGTTCTGCACCTTGCCAGCCAGCGCACGGATCCCAGTTTTACCTCCAGGCGGATTTGGATTCTATTTCGTGTCCCCCTTTCCCATCCGGTCTCCCCAGACGGAAAATGACCCCCCAAGCTGGAGGAAGTGGGGGGGATGACTTGCTTTTATGTTTTTTTTCTTTTTTTTTTTCTGTTTTTCTTAAATAAAGGTTCGTTTCTGTACAACCACGAACTCCGCGTATCGTGCGCGACTCCGCTACCACACGGCCGCCTCGTTCATTTCGGGGGGGTGAGACAGGTGGTTTCCGTAGCTCGCCCCGCCGTTGACCGACAGCGACGAGAAGGGTGGGCTGGGCCCGAAGACCTCGGCCGACATTGAGTGGAGAGGCCCGGGCAGGCTGGGCTCGGGGCTGGGCGAGTCCCCGGGAGGATGCGCCAGGATGTCGGTGAACCGCTGAGCCTCGCTCGACGGGTGGTGGCCGGGCAGCGGGTGCTCCAGGCCACCCAGGGGTGTCCCGGAAGGCCCGGACGACGGCACGAAGGGCAGGTCTACTGGCGTCTGAGCCTGCGAGGACGGGGGGCCTTGCGGGAAGAAGTCGTAGTTGCCTCCGGGAGCGTAGTACTCGCTCTGGTAATCTGCGGAGCAGCGAGGAGGCTGTCAGGGCGGGGCCCTGGGTGGGGCAGGGTGACAGGGCGGGAAGGCGTGCCCGCGAGCCGGCTGGGGAGGGCGACTCGGGGAAGTCGCCACTCGCCTGGCTCCCCTGCCGGGCCGGAAGGACGGACAAGGCTGGGTGCAAACGCCGGAGCTGCTCCCTACCTGCCCATTCGCCTCATTCAGGGTCGGGAATTCGGTCCGGTCTCACTACCTCCCCCTCGATTTACTCCCCAGCCTCCACCCATCTCTTCCCTACTCTCCACTTCTCTATAGAAAGCCAGAAGCGCCTCCGCGCTGCCACCCGCTTCCGACGAAGCCAACCCCGCCCGCTCCGCCCGCGCCCTGCCCGCGCCCTGCCCCTAGGCGCGCACCCACCTCCATAGAAGGAGAAGGGCCCGTTGGGGATGAGCTCGCCCGGCTCCAGGCGGTCCACGAGCGGCCGCATCCGGCGCGGACTGCGGAAGAAGGCGTGGCGCCTGGCGCCCAGCGCGCTTAGCTGCTTCATCCTCCGTTCCTTGGACCGTCGGTTCTGGAACCAGACCTGAAGCACACACGCGGGGGGGTGGTGAGGCCCCGGAGACGCCACCTCCACCTCCGACTTCGGGTGCGCGGCCGGACCTGGCCCCTCAGCGCTTTATCTCGCGGATTCCGGGCCGTGTGGTGTGTCTGTGTGTTGTATATGGGGGGGGGGGGGGGGGGCGCGGTCTCTGAGTAGGACCGCGCAGGGTGGCCCTTGAGCCCATGGTGAACAGGATTCCCGTCAGAGGAACTGGGCAAGCCGCCCTGCTCAACATGAGGCAGTTGGAGTTGTTTCTAATAATTCCACCGACACAGTTACAGTTTCCCGGGGGCTGTACACACCGAGGCTCAACCTCCCCAAATAGTATCAGACACATAGCTTCCCTTTCAGGGACCCTGGCAGCCCCCTCCCCCGCATGATAGTGACAGAGATCCAAACAGCCTCCTGTTGACACTCAGTCTCCCAAAGATAGTGACACCAAAACCCACAGTCTCCTTTTCCACCCACGTACAATCTCCCAGTGCCAAACGTACTTATCCACAGCCTTTCACTGGTAGTGACACAGACATGCAGCCTCCCCTTCACCTGCGCACAAGATCGCACAACCTTTCAGAGGCAGAGGGCCCCCGTGGAGGGCAGCCTGAATAGTGTGCCCATGCACACAGCCTCCCAGGCACATCCACCCATACCCTCGCAGAGCCTCCAGGCACCGGACACCTAACCTTGGGCCCAAGACTCGGGCCCGGTTCACACGCAGTCTCAAGACCTCACAGCGGGCACCTGCGCAGCTGCCTGGATGGCCACCTCCCATCCCATGCTACTCTGGACAGGCCGAGGTACAGCTGACTCCCACCCCGACCACCTTCCCTTCAAACCTGGACAGCCCACCTCTCTTTGGAGGGGAAGTCTCTGCTCTGGGGCTTGTTTAACTGGGGCAAGAGACCCACAAAGTTGGGGGTGGGGACCCGCAGAGGGAGATCACGTTGTGCAGAAGCCAGCGGAACCGATTAATTCCGAGAGGCACAGTGACCTCTTAGCTCCTCCCGAACAGGGGTGGCAGTGCAGACAGATAGGTCCCAACTCCGTCGCAGTGTCCGACAGTGTCCCCTCCTCCAGCCTCATGCTCCCCGTCCCTCCCCCACCGTCACCACTCTCACCTGCGCTGGACCAGGAAGACGAGGAGGTATAGGGAATTCCAGATGCTCTACGCATCTGGCGACGCTTTGAAGTTCGAACCGGGTAGGGTTGTGTCTGGGCCTCTCCCTCCCCCTCCGCCAGCCTACAGGGACTCACTCTCCTCCTCAAAACAGCCCCCCGCCCCAGCTCGGCCTGCACGGAGTAGCCGTGTGGGCCTCTAGAGAACTGAGCGGCACGCTCGGGCCCTGACCTGAATGACACGCATGTTGAGGCCAGTCTCCTGAGCCAGCTGCTCGCGGATGTGGCGCGTGGGCTTGGGTGTAGCGGCAAAGGCGGCCTTCAGCGTCTCCAGCTGCTTGGCTTTGATGGTGGTGCGCGGCCCTCTCCGCTTGGCCCCCAGGTTCTGGTCGTCGTTCTCATTGCTGCCGCCTTCCTTGTCTGACACATTGGCGCTCTCCGAGTCCTTGGCGTCGTCCTGCGACGGGTCTTGGGAGTCCGGAGACAAACTGGGGTCACTGCCCGTGGTGGCTGGGGAGAGGGAAGGGACAGGTGAGCAGCACCCTTGGCAGGCCTTCCTCCCCCAGGACCCACCCGCCCCTAAGGAGCCGGGAATTAGGGCCTCACCTGAGTGGAGGCTGTTATCTTTGGCGACGCTGCTGTTGCTTAGGTAATCCTCTTTGCAGACGAACTTGTTCTCATCGATGATGTAGAGCTCCTCGCCGGTGGAGAGCTGCTTGTTACACATCATGCAGGTGAAGCAGTTCAGGTGAAACACTTTGCTCCGGGCTCTCCGCACCAGGTCGCTAGGGGAGATGCCCTGCGCGCAGCCCGCGCATTTGGTACCGAAACACCTGCAGGCGGGCAGGTTGGCGAGGGCCAAGGGAAGACAGAAACAGGGAGAAAGGCGATAGAGAAAGAAAGTGGAGGAAGAAGAATAGGGAAGAGGAAAAGCAGAAAGAGAGAGAGAGCCAAAAAGAGAGGCAGAATGCCGATTAAGCAGGCAAGAAGGCAGGAGAAAGTGCGGGGCACCAGTGAAAAGTCAGGGAGGAGATACACATGGTTAGAATGATGGAGTAAGGAGCTCAAGCTGCCCCCACCCCTAGCCTCACGCCCAACGTTGTCCCAGAGGGAAAAAGCGCTGCCGAAGGCGGCAAGGTGGCGACGGGAAGGGAGAGGGAGGCACCTATTTTCCGATTAGATTCAGAGAACAGAATTAGAGCGCCATACAAATGCGTCTCGATCACCGCTTTTCTCTATATTGCCTGTCCTTCGTCGAAAAAGAAGGCGCACACGGGCTCGGGGTTGGCAAGGTCCGGTCCAGCCACGGGTAAACAAACAGCCGCGGAGAGCCCGGATGGCCACAGCCAGGCCGTCGCCACGTTCAAGCCCAAAGCCCAGCAGGTTGGCGCAAGCTAGACCGCATGGGGGCTCTAGGTGCCGGGCCGCGCTTCGCGGGAGCCAGGCTTCTGGGGCCCACTGGCAGTCGGCACCGTTCGCCGCTCCCTGGCTCGGCTCCCGCCAGTAGCGGGAGGCCCGGCAGCACCGGCCGAGGCCCAGAGGCTCAGCCTGCGCTTGCTCTCGGCAATACCAGCGGACAGAGCTTTGCTCCATGGTCCGCCGCTACCAGAGCCGCGCGTCCCGGGGATGCGCTGGGGACAGCGCGTCCCAGGCCTCTGAGCAAAGCGACCCGGGTGGCTTCGAACCCCCACTCTGTCCCCCAGTTTGATCTGTTACCACAAACTCAGAGAAAAGCAGAGACCAAGTCAGCCAAGTAAACTGGGAGATTTCAAACGGGCACAAGGGAATTTCAATTCGAGTTTGCTCCAGTTCTCTGTTGACTTGTGTGTTGTGTGGATTTGGTGGCAAGATAGTAACTTTAAGAGGATTCAATTAAAATGCTAAACGGAGGAGGGTTGTCGGAAGAAGTCCCCCGGCTCCGACGACCCGGGTCTCGGCTTTTCCCAGGTTTCGGCAAGGAGGTGGCGGGCTGTGGCGGGCAGAGCCTGGGAGGGCTCCGAGCGGAGCCTGCGCCTCAGAGCTGAGGTCGGCGTTGGGCGGAGGCCGAACCTCCCGCCAACCCAGGCAGCCGGGCAAGGTCTAGGCTACCGTGCAGTAGTGTGCCCAGGTCGGCGCTGGGAGGCCCAACTGGGTTTCAGGAAGACTCTGGGGCGTGCAGGATAGGCACCATGGCCGAGCGCTTCCCTGCCGCTGCCACCGCAGGCGACTCAGACACTCCGTGCAAAAGGCTCGGCGGTTCCCGCCAAGACTTCTCGGAGACGGAAAAGACAGTGGCATGGAGCTAGCCTGGGCTTGTAAGCTCAGCCTGGAGGACGACCAAAGCCGGGAGGTCCGGAGGATGCAGTCGCTGGAGAGCTCTGCGAGGGGAAAGGCAGGAGCCGGGGCTACACCTCCTGAGGCTGACCTACCTCTTTCCAAGCTTGGAGAGGCTTCTGGCTCAGAGGCGAGCTCAGACCCTTTCTTCCCAGGCACGTGCAACCAAGCCCGGACCCACAATTTCCAGGACGAAAGCAGGCCGCGTCCCGGGGAGCCCAGCGCGCCAGCTGGTGAAGAGGCGGGAGCCCCCGGGACTTGGCTGCCCTCTCCAAAGGCAGCTCCTAACGCGGCCGCCGCGGCCACGCTGACCTCTGATCCGAAGCTGGCTGGGAAGGGCCCGCGGGGAAGGAGCAGCAGAGGCGCGCGAGGTAAGTACTCACCGGAAGAAGTCGTTTTTGCAGTAGAGCTTGCCTTCCCGGGAGAAGCACTTCTCGGTCAGGTTGCATTTACATTCACAGCACTGGACGCACTTGACGTGCCAGGCCCTGTCCAGCACGTTCAAGAGGAAGCGGTCCAGGATGGGCCTTTTGCAGCCGGCACAGTGCACCATGGTCTTTGGTTTGGTCGGGTGAGGCCCGGAGAGAGAAGCGCAGGTAGAGCCGAGGGGATGATTCACCAAGATGACCGGCAGGAACTCCCCAGCCCCTCCAAAATGGGGAGACACACTTGGCAGTGCAAACCGAAACCCGCGCCGGAAAATCAGAGGGAGGGAGAAGGCTGATGGGGGTCGGGGGGCGCCTCGGTGAAGTGTGCAGCCCGACAGTCCCGGGGCCCCGGGGCACAGCAGCACCGCCGCCGCTCCTGGGGCGAGGAAAGAGTCTCAGGCGGGCGAGAAAGCGACTCTTCTGCCCAGAGCCCGCGAAGGAGTGAAGGTCACCGAGAACGGCGACGGGAACGGAAATAAATAAATAAAACGGAGTCGGAGAAGGAAGAGGACGACACGGCGAGCTCGGCTTGCAGGGAAAGCGCCGCTGAGTTCTCTCGGGCTTGAGGTAGAGCTGTCAGAAGTCAAAGTGCATCTGCTTTTGTCGGGGTATGAGGGCGGGTGTGTGTGTGTGCAGGGCTGCCCGTCACCGGAATTTCCCCTCCTCTTTTTATAAAAAGAGAAGAACCAAACGAGTAGGGAAGCTTTGGATCCTAAACTGTCGGCCTCGCGCAACGGGTCGGGACGCCCTGGGAGCCTGCGGTGGGCCTGGGGGAGGGGGCGGGGGCAGGCCGCGGGGGAAGGGAGAGAGGGAGGAAAGGAGGAAGATCTGGTTGTTGATTGTTGTTGTTGCTTAGGTTTCCCCCCCTTCTGGAGAAGTGTTTGTGTCAATCGAGAGTGAGAGGGACAACTCCGGGCGGACGCAGCCAGGTGCGCGCGCCCGCTCCCCACCGCCCCAGCCCCGTCACCTCGGCCCGTGGCCTGCCTGGCGGCCTCCGTCTCCTCGGGACGGCCCTCCCTGCGCCTGGACTCCTTCGGGGAGGGGGTGCCGTCTGGCTCCTCACCGCGCCTGGCCGTGCATCGTGGCTCCAGTAGCAACTCGCGGCCGCCTGGGCGCGCAGCCCCACATCGCTCGGCCCACGCTCCAGCTGCCTGCGTGCAACCCCACAGTCTCTCGACTTTTCTTTTCCTTTTCCCCTCTTTTTTCGTTGTGATGGCAAATCTGGGTTTCCTTTCTAGCCTCTTTCCTTCCTTCCTTTTTTTTTTTTTCTTTTCTTTTGCAGCGGGAGGAGTCGGGGGGAGGGGAGTAGCTTGAAGAGCTTTTTAAAAAACGTCCTGGTGCAGCGGCTACAGTTCTGTGCGGCTGGAACAGCTCGGCACGGGCCGCCCCTCTCGCCTTCCGGGCCGCAGTTCGTTGTAGGCTGTCCCCGGACAAGCGTCCCTCTGTCCCTGGTCTCCTGGCCCAGTCCGCCGCCCCGGCGCGTCTCTCCCCAGTTCCGGCGGCTCGGTCACTGCTCCTGGCTGTTGGCTGGGCTCTGGAAGCCCCCTCGCCTTAATGCAGCGCCCGCCGACGTCACGGCGGCCTGCGACCAATCAGCGGCTCGCGGTCCCTCTGTAAACCATTCTGCATCCCCCGGCTGGGGAGAGTGCCGGGAGACCGCGTTTAGAGGATCAGTGGCGGCGGCAACCGCGGCCCGGCGCGGTGCGGGCGGCGGGCAGCGAGGTGCCCGGGTCCCCTGCTGCTCCGGTAAGGCGTCGGTTTCGGTGGGAGAGACTGAGAGCGCGCGGGAGTAGGCGCAGGCCTGCTGGAGAGGGGCAGTAACCCAAGATCGAGCCTTGTTGGAGGTTGGGGTGCAGCTGGGTCCGGGAGCCTCGGCGGCCCAGGTGCACTCTTTGGCTTTGCAGTTCAGCGGGTGCTGGCTTTTTTTTTTTTTTTTTCCTCTTGCTTTCTTGGCCTAGAAGTTTGCCCCGGGCGCAGCGCTTGTCTTTGGGGGAGTTGGGCGGGGGAGGGCGTTTGGCAGCAGAATCTCCTTCCTCCGGTCCCTCCTTCTGTGCCCCCTCCTCCAATCCATCCAAAGTCCACAGGGTCCGGGTCTCTAGGAGATCTGGGTGTCTGTTTCCCGCAGCGCAGTCTTGGAAAGTTGATTCCGGAGGTTTCCTGGTGGGGCGGGGGAGACCGGAGGCGCGGCGCCGGGGCGGGGGAAAAGAGTGGGTGGGGAAGCGCCTCGGGTGAGGAGTTGCAACCCCGGCGAGAAGTTGTGAGAAAACTGTGATCCGGAGACACCTTTTCCATACAAAAACAAAAGACTAGGCGGGAAACCGTGGGGCAGTAGCGGCGGCTGGGGGGTGGTGGTACTGACGGTGGGAACGGGGACGTCCTGGGGGCTCCACGGCGAGGCTGCAGGGGATTGGGGTATGCAGAGTACGGGCCTGGCCGCCCTGTCCCCTTTTCCAGGCTCCGGGCTGGCACCAGCTTCCCCGGACAAGCGCAGAACAACCTCCAGTAGTTCACGTCTTAGGCAGCCTATACTTCCCTAATTTTCCTCAGGGTATAAACTAGGGACCACTGCCCACGGGGGCAGATTTTCCTAGAAGTAGGGGTCGGGTCCGGGTCCTGAGACTCTTAGCCTCGAAGAGTCACTCTAGTTCCGCGGCCCACACCCATCAAATACCAAATTCCGTTTCGACAGCACCATTTCTATGCCTAACCGGGACTTCTCCCCAACTGAAATCTGAAGGTGGCAGGGCCGGGCAGTCCCGCATTTGCTCCTTGTTTTTGTTTTTGGGGGACAGGGGTGTTAGAAAGGCGCATTTGGCCCTAGTGTAGAAGGAAATAAGGATGGGCAGCCACCCAGCAAGGTCTAGCCGGTATTTTGAGAATGGCCTTTTGACCCCCCACGCTGGGGGTCAAACCCAGACCCCCCATGCTGGGTTCAGACATCTCACACGGGGCCGGAGCTAAGTTGGGGGAAATGCGCCCTGCAATGCAATTGTTGTGAACGTGGCAGGCAAGGAAGCCAGTTCTTTGCAAAATGGAATACCCTCTTCGAACGAACCGGTTAGCCACTACAGCGAATTTGGTTTGCGCTCCGTGGACTGGGATTTTAGGACTCTGCCAACACGCTTTTCCCTCCTCTAAGCCTCCGCCCGCCCAGCCCTGCACCCCCGAGGCCCGCCGGCAGCCCCCGCCTTGCCGCCCGCGTCACCTTTTCATTGGAAGCCGAAGCCAAGAGCGGCAGTGAGGCTCTTTGGCGCTCCGCCCATCCTGACCTCTGGGCGCGAGGGCCCTTTCGCCTTCTCCGCACCCCCTCCACACACACCTGGCCTCTGGCTCCCCTCTGCGGGGAGGGCGGCGTTGGGGCTGGTTGTCTCTTGCAACAGCCCCCTACGCGGCTCTCTCCCAGGCCGGGGCTCAGGGCAGAGCTGGGGATGCGGAGGGCGGTTCTCCAACCCAGCAGGCCGGCTTCGAAGGATGCGACTTGGCTTTGTGCTCCTCCCGCGGACCAGGCATTTCCAGGAGCCAGCCGACCCGTAGCCCGCACTCCAGGACCCGGGGAGGCGCTAAGAGCTGCGTGGCGCGGGGTCCTCGCCTCCTCCACCCTGACCCGGAGGCACCTCCCCAGTCCGCCGCGCCGGGTGAGGCCCGCAGGGGGGGGTGGTCCTGTGAGCGGTCTCCACGCTCTCCCCACCACGCCCCCACACCCCCAGCTGTCTTGGTTCTCGCCGCCAGCGCCCTCAACTCAACCGCCCCTTTCTGGAATCTATAGCGGACCCTGTCCCGAGTGGCTCCACCCCGCCCCCGCCCCAGCTGGGCTCCTTCTCATGCAAAGCAGAGGGACCGCGGGGGTGGGGGGCAGTCGGCGGGGACTTACGGGGCGACAGCTGGACCCGGCTGCCGGCCCTTCCTGAACCCGAGGCCTGCCGCCTCCTTTCGAGTGGGCTGGAGGAGGTTTGCTGCAGCCGTTTGGGGGTGCGGGGACCTCGACGTGGGGACAAGAGGGTTCCCCCCTGCGGGCGGACTAGCGCGGTAAGGCAGTTGAGGGCGAGGGCAGGACGCGGACTCTAGACCATCGGGCTCCGAGGTCCAGATGGCTCAGTGTACGGGTCCACGGGAACTAACCCCGGTGTCTCGCAGGGCGTCGGGGAGAGCAACTCGAAGCGCGCCTCCTGGCTCCTGATTCTAGAAATTTAAGTCCAATTTTAACACCTCCAAGCACAGTAGATTAATATGTTTTTTTTTCCCATTTCCATTGAGCTTTTATTTTAAAATGTAATTGGTCTTAGAGACATGGAGAGAAAACTGACCGTCTCCGAAGCTTCTCAGCTCAGCTCTGCTTTTAACCCCATGTCTGCTCAGCCAAGAGCACCAGCCTTGCCTCCCCGCCCTCTCCGCCAGCCTTACTGCCTGCGTCCTGAAGTCCGCAGGCGCTTTCTCCCCAGAGCTCTCCACGTCTCCCACACCCACAACCACGCACAGCGCCCGGCTGCCAGGTGGTGTAAGTCCTGCACCGGGTGCCGGGAGGGGCAATCTGCCGCCCAGTCATCGCTCAGTGGCCGCAGAATCCTCTGAACCTCATCCCAGGCGCTCTTGGAAAAGACCCCAGAGGGCCCTGGAAGCGGCTTTCACATCACAGGTTTCTGCTATGAGAATCGCCTTGAGGATCAGCCCAAGAGGAGGGACCTGGCCCGGAAACGGGCCATGGGAGGGTTCTGCCAGCTCTTCCCAGACGCCCTGCAGTTGGGGGGCTGTAGGGTCCCCCTCCTGCACCCGCTTTCTTCCCGCCGCCTCCTTGATTCCGAGCCCTACATGGCCACCCTCCCCGACGAGTGGCTTGGGAGGCCCAAGGACCCGAGCTTGCCGACAAGGTCTGCTGCTGTTGGTCCCGATAACGCCCACCGCCCCGGCCCCTTCCCTCCTCGCCCAGGGCGCTCCTGTACAGCCCGCGGCCTCCAGAAACCGGCGGTGAGGCCGCGAAAGGGCGCGCCTGGGGGCGGAGCGGGCTCTAGATGGGTACCTGCGCCGGGCCGGCAGCAATAGGGCGCGACCAGCCGCCACCTTCCAGGAAGAGGGAGGTGGGAGCGAGCCGGGCGCGTCCGGGACCCTTGCAGTACCGGAGGCCACGCAAACTCCGCACAGACTCGGTGAGGACGCCACACGTGCGACGCAGGAAGCTGGGATCTGATCCGACCTCTCCCCGCTCTCTCCTTGCCCTCTCTCATTTGCTCCTGCCTCGGGTTGCCTTAATCTCACTCCAACACTCTCTCCTGGAAGTGATCTACTTGCGTGCAGCTCTTTACAGTTTTTATCGCAACCTGCCCAGAATCACATAGTAAGAGGGGGGATCGGTATTATCTCCTTCCCGGGGAAGAAACCCAAGTTAGGGGGTTTGCCCGAGATTCCTGGGTCAGTGCGCTACTGAAAGCGAGAAGTTTGGGGGTCTTGTCACCCTGCCCCTTTGTGTACTTGGCCCGGCCACGTTTCCAAGGCCCGGGTTGGGGGAGGTGGGGGACCTCGAGGCCGGTAAAAGGCAGCATCCGGCCGGGCCTTCACGGTGTGCGCTCGGGCTGGGTAAACAACGCCAGGCTTCCCACGAGGGCTTGGAGGCACCCTGGGCACGAAGGGGGGAGCCAGGTCGAGCGTGGTGATCTCAGATGCAAGTCAGCACCGCCGCGCGGAGCAAAGACAGGACATGGAGAGTCTGGGACGGAGAGTCTGGGCGGGACAGAGAGAGAAAGACAGAAGTGAGGGCAGGGGGATGGGAACAGCGAATAAGGGCAGAAACCCAGAGGAAAACAGAGAAGGACTGTGGAAAAGTAAGCGGGAAATAAAAGGAGGAAAGACATACTGGGGGAAATGCGTGGAGGAGTGGAGGAAAAGAAACCCAGCGACAAAAAAGGCAGCGGGGAGAGGCTCAGAGCCCAGG